TATGCTTATATCTGTGCCTATAGAATGATGCTTTTCTTCCTTCAACCAGGTCTATCACACTCCCATTGGCTCCAGAACAAAACAAAAATCGCGGTTTATAAGAAATAATTATACACAATGTCGCAAGCAATATGTTATGACGTAATACACCATGATATAATGAATCCCAATAAAATGTTAAGAAGCGCACTGTTTTAAATTGTAGCTATTTCCGTTGATCTCCGTGGGCTAATATAAATCCGATTAGGAACTAGTCATTTGCAAAAAATGTTTTTTGTGGGTCACACCTAATTGAAACGTGCAGCCAGGTTCTCAAAGGTACATCAGGAAATCTAAGACCGAAAGGAAGTATCAGAAAGCAAATATAACGAATATAACAGTGCTTCACTTGCAAAAGATTGCTGCACTGAATCAAATGAACTTTCTACGAGTAATGCTATGTTGTAACATCTGTAGTCAAATCAGGGTTCGCGGTACTCCTTAAATCCTTGAAAAGTCCTGGAATTGAAAACTCGCTTGTAAAGCTCTTTTAAAAAGGGGAAAAATCGCTAAAACTCCTGGAAAACTCCTCGAATCTGATAAAATTGATATTTTGCTTTTTGCTGCATGGATTGAAATGTGGCTATTTTTGGAAATCAACACTGGAAACATTCGCAAACATCAAGAAGTATCTTCAAAAATAGTCCTTCAAAATTGAATTTTTGTGCTTAAAAAGTACTTGAAAATGAAGTGAAAATGTTGCGCGAACCCTGTCAAATATCATTTGAATTTCTGAGCTCTAAGAATCACCTTGKGTGTTAGGTTTGATAATATCAATATCATCTTTTTGAAGCGTGACAACGTCTTTTTCAATTAGGTATTATGTATATTGTGCATCACAAATACCTCAAAATTATGCTAATTCTATCGTTTTCTACCGTTTAGTTTGTTCTTTCCAGCATTGGTGGTGTTGCAGACATTCAGCGTTTGCTTTTTAATTTACATTCCATTAAAGAAAGCTCACCGTCGATGGTGCATTTATGATATATGTATGCGTTCTTTAGAAATTGTATTTCAATCTAAACAAATCGGCACTCAGTATTAAACACCACAGCACCATACGGTCGTGTTTTTATGCATTTCCGTAAACATATTTTTTTTAAACATGCGCGTTGATACAGATTCTTCTAGCAAACGGACACAAACGAATCGGATCAAATTCTACASTAAGATTTAAGTGGACAATTTCATTGGATTAAAAGAAAATTGAGAATGTAGCTGATTACTTCGACTATTAGATGTGTGTCATTCTCATAAACATTGTTGAATGGCTTTGATAGGYTGCTTCATTGTAAAGCTTTGTTCTATTATAAGACCATCAGCGCAAACACCGAAAGCGCTAGCCGAGAACTTTCGCTTGAAAAGCCGTTCGATCTAATAGTATCGAAATCTTTGATCTTAAAGGAAATGAYTGAGYGAGACTGACTTTTATTCTTTGCGCAATTCGGTGATTATCTGGATTGAAGAGACCATGCCGCAGTATCGGTAGATGATGGKCTCATAAAATTTCCTGAATATACCATGCCCTGGGGGTCGAAAGGGGTGGAAATCTTCTGTGCTATATTGCTAATGACAGACTTACGGCTCATAGCTACCCCTATATACTACTTCGAATATCCAGGGCAGGTTTCCAAAGATACTCTAATAGGAGAAATCATGAAATTTTGACCTTTTTTCACTCTCAAGGAAAGCTTACTTGTATGTTACGCTTTCAGCTTGAGCAAATCTTAATTCTTGTCAAAGGAAATAAAAAATTCTCACTTTAATGACGCGCAGAAGACTGACAGTTAATTCTAGATGTATAAATATAAAGATCGAGACAGGTATCAGGAAATAAAAAGATTGAAAGACAAGTAACTGTCAAGCAACACTCAGATGATTGATGGTTTATGGCAATATCATACAGAAATACTACACAAACGGAGAAATAACTAGAACATGCAATAAGCACATCAAGCAAGCAGTCTGATAACCAGACTATCAAATAAACAAACCATCAGGACAATAAAAAACAACACAAATTAGAAAMAAAGCGAACAGAAAAGCGAAACATTTCAACAGCCGTCCATCCACATAAACAGCTTTTGATAATAAGTTCCAGCTGAGACTTATATCCGTTTAGTCCTTTGYAATTCTCAGTAATTAAACAGGCAATAACCTACCTACACAATCCTTTAAGTACAGATCAACCAACGCTTTATCTTAGCTCGTTATAGATTGATATAGTTGTCGAGCTTAAGTGATGATCCTGTTTTTTTGCTTTCGATAGTATTAATATTCAAAACATATTGCGTTACAATGTGTTTGTTCATTAATTCAGCCTTATGTGGGTCTCACCGCTGAAGGGACATTGTCTTATGTACCTAATATATATCGATCTTTTGAAKCRACTGATGGTGCCCCCAAGGCAACGCATTATCTAAAATATCGCTGTAACACATCGATGCCGACCACCTCTTTATGTAAGGAATCATACAATTGGATGTTTGTAGATATGGGAATCTATTTCGATTAAAGATAAGTGCTCTCTTTAAATGCTTTAAGATATAATGCTAGCACTCAGTGAGAAATTTAACAGTTACTTCTTATTTGACTATTGAACACTGTTTTTTTATTTGACCAAYCAATAAAAATTCACTCCTACCCAATACCACCAATACCACCGCTTTTCGAGCTTCGTTAACGTTTCACTCRATTCACCAGCTGTCMGAAAAGTGGCGATAAAGAGATACWATAGCCTAATGACGTCATGTGTTTATCGGCGAACTGCATCACGGGTATTGGTATAAGTKTCAAGATGGCGGATATCTAATAAAAACAATGGAGGGCAAAAGTTTACTTTTCCCCTTCGYGGGGTGCCACTGTAAAGAAATCATATCTTTGCTYCATTARATAATAGYTAAGCATATTATGCATCGTTCTGAAGCTAACACAATWATCTAAACGTCTATGACATTGGYTTGTAATAATATTTAATAAGTAATCGATTACATATTAATAATCATAAATCAAGTCCAAATCTTTAAAAAGTTAAAGCCAAAAAAGTATTTGTTTTTTATATAAAATTTGTACGGTATATTGGTCATTATATATTGACCTTAAAAAGGTCGAGAATCCTTTGGAAGAACATGAATGAGATGCATATCAAATATATGTTTTATAACATGGCGGATATCAAATAAAAACTACGAAATTAATGCTATTGAAAGTCGAGATCCTTTATGATGTCTTGTGAATATTATAGCTCCATTTAGTACCCATGCAAGGCAAATTCATGTATTTAAAGAAGCGTAACTATAGTTCCTTTGCGTCGAGCATTGCTATTTCCTGACAATTTTGTTGAAATAGGTTTATATCCTCATTTAGTTCTCATTTACCATTATCATTTTAAATGAGTTATGCGAACTCACTCTATTGTTTTTTTTATTGTAAATGGAAATGAAGTGTCGTCAATACATAGATCAATATACAGAATCGCTGAAGAAATAATTATAGTACGCTATACCATCTAACATCAAACAAAAGCCTTTTCAACTCATGGCTGTTGTCGTRTTCTTTTGATGTCTTTTAATTAAATGATATCAATAAAGAAGCSGCAAGAAAAGGCAAACTGCAATAAGCTTTCGTTTTAAATACCACCAAGCGAGATACGATGATCAAATCCCGCTCGAACACTTTCAAATCCGATTCCAAACTGACTTTGCTTCAGCGATAACGTTATGTGTGCATGAATTAATAGTGTTTCTGTATATTGGTCTCTCGATGTAATAATAAAAAATGTAAACAGAGCATTTATATAGTTTTTGAACTTATTAAAAGGTTTTCTCGCGCCACARTAGCAGCCACACCTTCCACCTCTTTCATTCCCCTTCCCCCAAGAGAGTTCARTTTTGTTTCAACCATAAACACTTTTCAAATACATATCATAAGATTTGCATTCATAGATCAGGCATATACAATATTGGTCATCAGATTTAACTTACTTTTTTTATAATCAAGACTTGTTTGTTTTGTTTTTAATATATGTTTGTATTGAAAACTCAAGTCCATAAGTCGAGGAAATAAAATTCCCGTAATAAACGATTCACATTGTACTCACTATAAAAATTATTACTTTAATCTTCGCTAAATCTTCTCTAGAATTTAATAAACTTAATTCATCTTGTGCGCTTTAGAGCGTTTAAACTACGCAGGAATGTTTCATTAAAATTATCAAAAAGAGGTTGAATTAAAAAATGATTTATTAAATGACGTCACTATSGAGCCGGGATMATYGTGTCACYTCTTTGTTTACATGAATTTGAGAGGTGCTTTTATTAGTGAAGAACCTTGGGATCGTGAACTTTAGTTTGACCTCGTAATGCTCGCAGAATGTTTTCCGTTATAAAGCTCGTGTTTTCAGTGCTAATCGTCGCTTCTTTCGCTTCTGSAAGCCTMAATACAGAGTACAGCAACTCAGCATTCCTCGATGAAGCGAAAACTTATAAACTTTATTGGAAAATTGACGATGATAAAAAGATAATATCGTTTGCTGTCGAGGTCAAGACACTTGGATGGGTTGGCTTTGGGATATCGCCTGGAAATGG